AAGTACTTTAAAGCACATAAATTAGTTACCCGGGCAATTGAATCAATTAGCCAATCAGATGAATGTCGGCCTATGACCCCTGCAGTATTGAATACAAGAGAATTCAAATTAAAATTTAAGTGAAAAAATAAAATTGTAAAAAAGCCAATATATTCTTTGTTAAAATAGTGGGTAAAGTTTAAATAGAGTAGAATGAACTTTTGTACATAATAGTCAAAACACAACACATCAAGAAAGAACAGCTCTACAGTATTGGCCAGTTTTTTACAAACTTCTAAAAAGTAAAACTAAGCAGTGAAATTACACATATAAGTCAAATTCAATATAGCTCTTTGAATTAAAGTATATAAACAACATTCTACCAGTTTTTGAAAAGCTCAATAGAAGAAAACTAGATATATATAAAACAGACAAATGTATTATATGCAAAAAGAAAATAGAGAACATAGAATCTTTGAATTTAATATAAGATATAAAAGAATAAGAAGTTGAATTAACCCTGAAAGAAATAGAAAAAATACAAGACTTATATAAAAAAAAAGAGTTCCATAGAAAAGAGAGATGAATAAGAGGTCTAATTACAAAAGAAGACTTTGATAAAATCCAGCTAAGCTTCATGTTCAACAAACAAGCAAAGAATTTCATAGTAAAACTTTAAAAAAAAATAGATTAAAAAAATTTATAAAGAGATATAGATTACAAAATGTAGATTAGTATAAGAGTAGGAGAAGGGAAATAGTATAATGTGAAAAAAAAAAAAAAGATCTAGCACAGATACCAAAAGAAAAAAGAAGTCCAAAAAGAAAAAAAAAAAGAGAGCAAGTAAAAAGAAAAACCCAAGTAAAGAGCTTCATGAAAGAAAAAAAATGAAAAATGAAATCGAAGCAAGATAAAAAATGGTTTTAGAATTAACTAAACATGAAATTTTGAGTTGGATAAAAGATGGGCAACATGCAGAATGGTGAAAAAGTTAATCAGTAGTCTTAACAGGCCATAAAAACCATCCAAGGAGATATTAATGAATCTGTTGGCAGAATGAAGGTAAATCTTACTATAGCAGGTCGTACATAGGTATTCTCTAAATAACCGGGTGAGTCAATATTTGTAATTTAGGTGTCAGGGGGAATAGCCCTCTGTAAAATTTAATATTTCAAAGTATAATATTATTAAACCTATAAAGTAGTGGCAGGACTACTGAAATGTTAAAAAAAAAAAAAACTTGAATAATTCGAATAGAAAATCTGTAAGACCTGTAAGCTCTACGTACTTACGTGCGTTCGTGCATGTTGTACGTATTCTGGATTAACATCTTCTCGACCCAGAATCGGGCAGCTCCAGATGAGAATTTAGGCCAAATTAAACTAACTGAAGACTTTTTTTGTTCTAAAGTTCTAACTTAAATAACCTAATTCTGCCAAAAAATTCCCATCCGAATCTGAATCGGGATGACTCCAATCTGGGGTACAACATACATACCTGATACAACGTACGTACGTAAAACTGGCATAAATTACAGAATTATCAACTACCATATCGTAAAATTTCTGGGGTCATGTGGCGCCAACTTGCAGGTGCTACCATACGTACGATATATAAATAGATGAATGTCTTTTTTTTCAGCTTAACGATAAAAAAGTTTTTAGAAATAAGTTTTATTATCAAAAAATACGAAATGGCGGATGATTTGGATGTCGAAGCAATGCTAGAAGCCCCTTTTCAAAAGGGCCAGGTAAAAAAATTATTTACCTCCAGTCTTTTTTCGTTGAACCTTTGTAATCAAAACTCCGTCGTATATAGGAAACCTCTGTTACTCACAATACTAACGGAAAGAGTCGATCGGACCAAAAGGACGATATAAAAAGGTTATTTACTATTTTGAGTTAAATGGTGTCTACATTAGCTTGAACTGAACATCATAGTAATATACTTTCTAGTGATGAACGACGACGTCATCGAAGTTCTTCGAGAACTTCCAGTCACCGACATAGATCACATTCTAGATCACGTCGTTCACGAAAGTCACGTTCTAGATCTCGCGACAAACACAAAAGACATCGTAGTCGTTCTAGATCGCGTGAAAGGCGACGAAGAAGTCGTACTCGTTCTAGGGAAAAGCGTAAAAGAAGTCGTAGCGCACGTAGGAGGAGTCGTAGTCCAAGCAGATTCAGGTAAGTTTGTTCAAGAACAAGCAGTTACGGTATGATATGATAAAAATTATTTATTAATATTTGCTTCCTTAGTGACCGTGACCGTCGGCGGCGTTCACCAACTCCTCCTTTAGACGAAGAAGAACGTGATAAACGTACAGTATTTGTTATGCAATTAGCTGCGCGTCTTCGAACTCGAGAACTTGCTGATTTTTTTGCATCGGCTGGCAAGGTCCGAGATGCAAAGATTATTGCTGATAGAATATCTAGAAGATCAAAAGGGTAATTATTTACGACTTTCAACATATTTGTTCAATTTAATAAATGCTAATTCTAATTATACAATTTCATAATTTCTAGGGTTGGTTATGTCGAATTTTATGACGAAGAAGCTGTTCCAAAAGCTTTAGCTTTGACTGGGCAAAAACTTTTAGGTATTCCAGTGATTGTACAATTAACCGAGGCAGAAAAAAACAGACAAGCTAGATTAGCAGAACAAGCGTGAGTCTCTATTTCAATTTTTCTGATATTTAGATTATGAAGATACCATATTTATATAATATTATTACATACGTTAGAGCTTCCCATGCGACAGATATTGCTTATCACCGGTTGTATGTTGGGTCAGTCCATTTTAATTTGACAGAAGATGATCTAAGGCAGGTTTTTGAGCCATTTGGACCATTAGAATTTGTTAACTTACATAAAGATCCAGAAACTGGCCGGTCTAGAGGCTTTGCCTTTATCCAGTAAGAAAAAATTTATTGTACTCAAAATAAGCATTTTTTAAAATAATAATTTTTTATTAATATAATAATAATAATATTCAATTTAGATATAAAAATCCAGAAGATGCTAAACAAGCACTAGAAAAAATGAATGGCTTTGAATTGGCTGGAAGAACAGTAAGCTATCATACAGTATGTGCGAATTCATTATTTCAAAGTCTCATGTGGCAATGATTTCTTTACAGATTAAAGTAGGTCTTGTTACTGACAAGAGTAACGGCATGAATTTGAATCTTGATGATGGCGGTTCGTATCTTAATAATCATTGATTGATTGTATATGACCTTACTTACTGTTAATTTTGTAAATTAGTTGATTAATTCTCATTTATAATCCAAAATGCACCTATACCCAAATAAATTTTTAGATGTTGCTGGTTTAGCTCTCAACGCACAGTCGCGGGTCGAATTGATGCAAAAGTTAGCTCGCGATACTGACTTGATTGCACCTGCAACTACGCCAGCTTTATCAGAAGTGTCAGTATCTTTATTCAATATAATTAAGTGTGTATATAATTGTAAGCAGAATATTATAAATCAGTTTATTTTAATAATTTAGGCCACGTCCTGTACAACCCAGAGTGAACCCAACTCGCTGCGTCTTATTAAAAAATATGTTCAATCCTGAAGAGTAAGTATGAATTTACTAGTTTTGCCCAACTGTCCGTATGATGCTAATCAGGCTCCATTGAACTTGAAAGTCAAGGCAAATGACAGCACTAGAGTCATAATCAATTACTATTCTGCTAATTTTCCAATCTAATTCATTTAATTCATTTATTAACCTCTTCAGGGAAACTGAATCAAATTGGGCCGAAGAACTCGAAGAAGACGTAAAAGGAGAATGTGTCAAATATGGCGCTGTTGTTCATATTAGCGTTGATAAAGAATCTGAAGTATGTATTTTGTATTATGATAAAGCTTCGTTAAATTTATTTTTGTATTGACACTAAGATTATAATCCTTTCTTCAAGGGAGATATTTATATGAAATTTGATAATGTCGCATCTGCTAAAAATGCAGTGAATGGCCTCAATGGACGATGGTTTGGAGGCAATCAAATCCAGGCGGTGTTTATTCTCGACATGTTTTATAATGCTCGATTTCCAAAAGCAGCAAGTCTATGATACTTCGCAGTGTTCGAGATGCTTGAAAAAAAAAAAAGAAAAAAAAAAAAAGAAAAAAAAATTTAATTTTTTAGCTTGAATAAGACTGATCGATAATTATTTGTGGATAGTTTTTAGGTTTTTAACGTTGAAAATAGAGGACGACTGCCATCAAATGAAGGAAGTCCTTACATTCTGGGTGCGCCGCTGAGAAACCGTAGCAAGAGTAATTTGTTCATATTTGTGTTCATTGTACTGAAACACCCGATTTCTCATGTTTGGCATGTTGAATTTATTCTTTATACAGTAGTTTATGTGGAAAATTACCACTTCGCGAAGCTATCATTATGATTACATACATACACTAAGGGTTGCAAAGAGAAGTTATATTTTTTTCCTATTTCATTTTTTTTTCAATTTAATTCCTTGCGTCCTTTTGGTTTTTATTGTATCTTTCTGTTGATCGTGGTCGTAGGATAAAACTCTCAATCGCAAGGCCAGTAACTTTCGAATAAAATTGCTACAATATGACAGGTGTGCCGTGGAACGAATTCCAGTATCGGATGCCCGTTGTCAATATGATTTTTACCCTTTTTTTTTTTTTTTTTTTTTTGATACCGGCGAAAGATTATATCGAAAAGTGTTGCAATTATCATAACAAATGGGTTTTCAACGTATCGCAAGCAAACTCTGTTCATAACTATGGCATGTAGATAAAAAATGAGCTAGTGATTATTAATAGTCTGCTTTCTTTTGCCAGGTAACTTATACATCGAAAGGAAAAAAAAAAAAAAAAAACCAGAAAAATGGACCTAAAATCACCGATTTTTATATTAAATTACATAATATGTGATTGATCTTTTTACTTTATATATAAACTCGAATGCAATTTATATGTTTACTATATTTATCGTTATATGATAAAATGGCTCATTATCAATTATGATGACTAGGGTTGATGAATTTCGTGGGTGTTGTGACGCTTCAAAATTACAACCAGCCTATAAATTGGCTGAATCCTTGTGATGTCAAAGTACACAACACACACTCCAAATTACTTTAGAGTTGGAATTTTTTACCGACTCGGCCAAAGGCAACCAAAACATAAATCTATCTCTACTATTGCAGGCGCACCACGCATCATATAAAATATTAGTATTATACATACGTTTAGGCTTTATTAAATAAACTTCATAAATCACCTTTAGACTTAGGATCTGTCAAATTCGTCTGTGACGGTGACCCCAATACAATCTACTTTTCGATTGGTTGCAAAACATTCTTTTGTTTATAAAACTTATTTGCATTATTTAATTTAAGTTGGCGATTATCAGATGTCTGAAGCCGAGGACACTGCACTCGAATCAAGCGAGTTTAGCAACCAAGCATCTGCTAATTCAACAGAGTTAGACAGTAGCATCCAAACGCCTGCAAGAGACGTAGATAAAAAAGATTCTGATGACGCGATAAAGGACGAAGAAAAACCAATCAAAGAATCTCTAAATGCGAAATCGAGAAACATGATTCGTTATACGAGAGAACAATTGCTGGCATTGCGCGACAGCCCGCTTGTTAAAAAACCGGACGCACTACCACCAATTAGTACATGGTTTGGGTAAATTTAAATCATTATTTTTCTTTAAACATCCATTCGTTAGATCAGCAACTGGGGTAGCGCCCCTTTTCTGTAATTCTTATCAGTTTTTATGATCAATTGTTCTTGATTTATAAGAACAGACAAGTCCATTGCTTGGTATCAATTCTGATTTTTGATTTTATTTAAGGGAGTCGGTCGTAAAAAAAGATACCAAGAGAAATAACGCTGAGAGTGTTCAAGAAAATGAAAAAGGGTACTCATCAATATACTTTGCTAGTCGATCAATTCAAGATGATTACATTCGTTGACACTTTTTAATTTAGCAAACAACCCAGCCAAAGTCTCGTTGATGGATTAAATAAATCTAAAGACGATCTGACTGCACTAGGTATCCCGAAAAGTCCTTCAAAAAGTCCAAACGGATCGGAGCCGACGTCCCCAAAGCCATCAGGCATGTGTTGAACTTGCTAAACTTGTTTTTTTTTTTTTTCAGTGATATGATTAATAAATTGAATTATTAATTTAAAAACAGATAAAATTATTCTTGGTCCCCCTAAAATGAATTTCGCTTCATCTTCTGTTGGAGGATTAAAAAGCGCGGAAGATAAACCAAATCAGCCTAGAACTGGCAGATCTGATGGAATGCGACAACGTCAAGTGAGTATCTCTCTTGGTCTTATATGTGTCCTTTCAAATTCGATTAACAATGAATCGATATTGGATGACAGGATGAATATTCGAGGGCTGGAATCAAGGATTTTGAACCACGGGCACCTCGTGGTCCTACTGGTGAACGAGGTTTTGTTGGTAGGGAAGCTCTAAGAGAACGAGCCCTGGCAGATAAAGCGCTCAAGGAATCAATTGGATCATCGCATAATTCTCATAGCCGTGGTTTAGGCCATACAAGATCTCAAGATTCAAATAAAAGCGGCCGCAGAGATGGTGATAAAAAATTCAACCATTCATTTAATATTTATTATCTGATTTTTAATATCTATTTCGTTTTTGTAGGTGGTGGCATATCTGGGAGGGACCAATTGGGCAAAACCAATTTTATCAGACATCATCATTCTGAAGACAGATTCGAAACGCCTAAATGGATGAATTACAACCCGCAAACTGATGAAGATACAAAAAATGGTGAAAACGGAGGGTATGAAGATAAAAAGCATTTTGATTTCCAAGCTTGGAAGTCACAAATGAAGGAGCAGGACCGAGAACGTAAAGAGAGAGCAAGAACGGAAAAGGACAAAGAGCGCAAAGAAACTGCCGAGAAAGGCAGAGCACGGAGTATATCACGTGCTGACAGCAGTGTATCTTGGAGACCTGATAAGATCGGGGCGACAGAAGAATCTAGCACATTGGTTGAAAATCCTATACCTGAAAATTCTATACCTGTAACACAAAATGGTTCAAAAGAAAAGGGGACATCCGATTTCAATGGTAAATTAACTGAACCTTTATTATTTTCAAAAGTACTAGTTGACAATCTATGCAATATAGATATATTTATTAACTTTATGTTAAGTTTTAAACGTGTACAATGGAATTAAAACAAAAAAATCTAAATGGAAATGTCGTTTGTTACATAGAGTCAACATATTTGGCCAATGTGGACCAACTTTTTGGCCCTGGAATCGATCTCAATGCACCTCTGGATTCTGGTTCGTCAGCTTTCGATAAGTTTCTGTCAAAACATAAACTTGCCATGGCCGAAGATAATATTCCTAAAGCTGGTGTCACAAAGAATGCTGAAATGATTCCCCGTGAGCAAGGCACGTCTCGCTTTGCCAGATTTTTTTCCCATAATGTAGATGAAAGCTCTCAAGAAATGGATCATAATAATGAAAGACACCCAGTGTTTCCTACACCAATGCAAAGTAATCCAGTTCCAAATGAATTAAAACCTGGTCCAATTAGCCTTGATACATTGTTCCAGAGTCAAGCAGCAGTGTCTTCTACAGCTGCACCAGCTTCTCCTCATATAACTGATGGAAAGCGAGTACTTTCAAGAATGCTTACCGAAGACGAAGTTTTGCAGACAATTGGAGCAAAACCGTCCATTAAACCAGAAGCTAAAGAGCGTAATCATGAAGATGAAGCTGCTATGTACAAAATATACGCAGCTTTGAAAAAAGGACCAGTGAGTCTTGTTTATTAATTCTACTTAAATCAAGTCAATAGAAAAGGGACAATTTTTCTAAAATTTTTTTCAACTTTAAGTTATAGTATCTCAGCAACTACCAAACCAAATTCAATAAAAAATTTTTAAATCTACATAGTTTTAGAGTTAAACCAAAAAAAAAAAATTTTTATTGAATTTGATTCAGTAGTTGTTAAGATATTTTAAAAAGTTACTAAAAATTATGTCTCCTTTTTATTGACTTCTTTTTTTTTCGAATTTATCCTAATTGTTTTTGAACCGTTAATCAAGTCTACAGAGTTATCGAGGCCGCCGCAATCCAATATGCCAATGTCGTTATCTAATCAGCCCCCAGCACACCAAACTTCAATATCGCACACGGGGTTGCCTTTCAATGACCCTTCTATTATCAGTGCGCAGAAATTGACTCCAGGGGCAAAATCCAGTCAACATCAATCAAAACTCGATATTTCGAACAGGCATTTAGGATTTTCCGAATTACCTTCTACAGATTCTGCAAAAAAAATCAATATGCTCTTTGGAGGAAACGTACCAACTTCAGTATATCGCCAGTTGAGTTCAAGGTCAGATAATGGTTCTAGAGAGTCGTCAGCCGCATCTTCGCCGGCATTAAAATTCAATGCAAAACCTATTATTTCCAACTTTCCACATTCTCCGCAATCATCGGCACATATTCATGATATTCATGCGCCGATTTTTAAATCACCTCCACCTCACTCTCCTAATCCTTCTCATCAACAAAGCCACAACCATTCACAATATCATAACAATGTACCTAGTTACTCTAACGGGCCAAACATCTCTCAACACTCGCATAATCGACCAGAGTATCCTCCGCCTATCGGCCGCAACATACCAGTAGAACAGTTGTTTAACATGAACCCGCCACGTAATGTTCCACAACAAATCCCCCCGCAATTTCAACAACCTCCCCTTCCACCCCAAATACCATTTGGTTATCAGCATCAACCTGAACGTTATCCCCAACAACTCCAGTTTACTGGTCCTTCAATACCACATCTTCCTGTCCATCACCATCCAGGAATGTTGCCACCCGGTACAGAGGCTCTTTTCGCAAACATGCATGGATATGCTCAGTTTATTCCGAACATTGTGAACAATGCAATGGTTCCGAATAATATACCAGGTATCAGAATATATAGTTTGCGCTCACAAGATTCTTAATAATCACATCGTTATATTAATCATTTTTCTGTAATAGGAATTCCAAACAATACCAATATACAGCAACGTGGAATGATGACTTTGGAAGAAATTGAGAGACGAGGACTTGGTAGCCGTTAATATATTATCGAACAATTGATTACATATATTCTTCTATTTTCCATCGTTTTTATTTTTGCGTCTCTATCATGCCATCATTACGAATTCCATCCTCTCCTTATTTTATCTTTGAGAAATACACTGTAATTACACAACAATGTACGTATATATACATATATATTTCAATAATATCTCAACTCCAGTGTAATATCAAAGATTTCAAGGAATATAGCATTGCGAATTTCTGTTAATCTCTGTAATATTTATACCATAAGATGATGAATATTATATACAATGATCATGTCTTCAGGGATGCTATTAGGAGGTAGGAAAAATTTACTAGTTGAAAGTGCATGATGTTGTCTCGTCCAGTGGAGTCTTAAATAATTTGTTTGATTTCGAGTAATTAAGCTTCTCTGCACAAATTGAACATTTCATCGTGTTCAGATAAGTCATATATTTACGATATGAACTTAAGAAACAATTATTAAATATTTCATTCTCTTATTTATTATGTCGTTTTTCATTAGCACGTGTAACATTAAAATTTTAACGAATAGTGTACTTTTATTTAATTATGATCCAAGAATTATTTTTTACAGTATATTTATTATTATTATATATTAGATTTAATCTAGATTTTTATTGTATATAAATGATATTTTTTTAGAAAGCTGATTGATTATCTTAATCCATTTTTTTTATAAAAAAAATAAATATTTATGAAACAGTGATGTTTTATGTTAATTTATTAATAATCGAATATGAAATATGATGCTAGATGTTTTTTTTGTATTGCCGTGGGTGTGTCACTCAGCAAAACAATTCATAACAGATAACGGAAAAATTTTTTTCTTTTAGTGTGCTGCATAGTAGCTTATGAGAGTGACGTTCCGATTAAAAACAATTCCTGCTTTCATCGCGTGCCGATATCGTTATTGTGCAGTGACTAACGCTAATAAATATCTTTAGACCGCAAACTTAGAGCTTATAACTTTTTTTATGTTAGGATTTTACGCTTTAAAAAAATCAAATAATAAATTTTGGCACAATTAAATTAAAGTCTAATTACTTGGTTTTAATAACTTAAGTAGACCTAGCCGGCTGGCTCTTTTTTAAAATTTCATCTGTACAAGATTATTAAAAATTAGATAATATATACAAAAAAATATATAAAAAAAATCTTTTTAATTAATAATGTACTTATTACAATTCTTCAAAAATATTCTAGATACAACAAGAACAAGAATACTAAAAGATATATATAATTTATATAAATGCAAATAAATTGCAAAAAATAAAAGCAAACAATAAACTCTAATAATCACTTGTATCAAATTTTTTAATTACTTTGTTTTTATAATATGAAATTTTTAAATAAACCTGGCCAGCTGGCTTTTTTTTAATTTTTATCTGTACAAGACTAATAAAAAAAATATATATAAAAAAATCTTTTACTACTACAATACTAAATTTTTAACAATACAACCTATTTTTAGATATATACAAAAATATTAATTTGTTTGCTATTTTTAAAAGTAGTTTTATTAGTGAAATTTTTATTATTTAGAGAGATAAGAGAAGTTAATAGAAAAAGAACAAATTATTTTTAGTAATTTTTAAATTAAAATATCTTAACAACTATTTAATTAATTTTTTTTTTTTTTTAATTTGGCAATTCTGCCTTTATTGTATTAGGAGTGCATAATCTAAATACATAGTTTCCGAACAAAAAGCCTGCAATAAACTCAATGCCTTCCACCCTTCTACTCTTCAATAAAGACTCACTCGGCTGCTTGTAATGGTGCCCAAGTGCGATCTGCCACAGCAATAATTCATTCATCTCTGGCATCTAACTTGCTAGATGACTTCCTAAAAAAATCACTAAAAGCTTATTGCTAGTTTTGTCAAGATTGCCTTTTTCTTAACATTTTTCCTTCTTCAAAGAGATATAGAACAAATGGGGGTAAGAAACAAAAAACACAGATAAAACGAAAACAACAAAAACAAAAACAAAAAGAAAAAACAAAGAAGAATATATAA